CCAGTAAATTGTTTGGCTCGGTTCACCACTTCAGAGACGTTATGACATCGGTAGGTAGGGACACTTGTCTCCGTACGTCCTGTTTCCTGTGAGAGTAAATGGAGGCAAGCCAAAGTTAAAGACAGCGGAAGTAAAGCCTCGCAGGAGCAACCATGTAAGTTGTAGCTGCCATATGTCCCCTGAGCTGAAGACAGGTAAGTACTGACACACTGAGGCTGTTTGTGAGGGTAAAAACGAGGTCTTGGATTGCTCAGAATCATTGCACTGATAGGTACACCTTTGCTGTGGTTGAATCTAGATGGGCTCCAAGGAACTCTAAGGTTTTTGCAGGTAGAAGCATTGACTTCTGTTCGTTGAGAATGAGGCTTAAAAAAATAGAACGGGTGTCTGGTTATGGATATCATGTATAGAGCGTCAGTCTCTGATGGCCCTTTTATTAGGCAGTTGCCCAGATAAGGAAAAAATCATAATTCACTGGCGACGTAGGTATGCTGCTGCGACAGCGAGTGTCTTGGAAAACACTCTGGACGCCGATGACAGGCTGAAGGGCAGGATGCGGTACTGATAATGCTCCAATCCAACCACAAAAAAACATAGAAACCGTCTGTGTGCCAGATGTATGGTAATATGAAAGTAGGTGTCCTGCAGGTTGTGGGTCATGAACCAATCTCCTTGTTCCAATGCTGGAATGATGGATGCTAGGGTCATCATCTTGAAGTGTTGCTTCCGTAGGTATCGATTCAATTTGTGAAGCTGTAGGCTAGGTCTCTATCCACTGTCTTTTTTGTTGTGAGAAAGTAGTGGGAATAGAAACCCCTGCCCTTGAACTCTTCTGACACCTTCGCTACTGCTCCGATGTCTAAGAGACAGAGGATTTCCGTTTTGAGTAGATCCTTGTGAGAAGGATGCCTGAAAAGGGACAGGGATGGTGAATAGTGTTAGGAAGGGTATGGTGTAGCCTGACGAGACAATCTCTAGGACCCAGCAATCTGATGTGATGGCAGCCCTTATGTGATGGCAGCATCTTATGATGGTCTCAGTGGATGATGGAAGATTGGAGTAGACTGAGCATGGTGACCGAATAAGGGAAGGTCTTGCAAGCCCTCCATCTGGAAGTCAAACCTGTTGTTTGTTCATGTGCTGGCTGGGGTTACGGTTGTTTGTTTGGTTGAGATCATTGCTTCTGTGGTTACTGCCTTGATCTGGATTGATCAAATCCCCTTTGCTGATATCTGGAATATGAAAAGCCTAGGTAGCGTTGACATGGTATGTATCATCTACATTGATACAGTGGGGTGTACATACCCTAGGTACAAAGGGTGGTTCTTGAATCCTTACTGGAATGTAAAACCTTGTCTGTCTTCCCTAACAATAATTTTTTTTTAATTGAACAGGAGGTCTTCCACTTTCGTCTGCAGTTCACGAGGAACTGCGGCAGCCTGAAGCCAGGAAGCTCTTCTCATGACCATGGAAGTTGCCATGGCCCGGGCTGCTGGGTCAACTATTTCCAGGGCTATCTGGAGAGAGGTTCTTGATGAAGCATATCCCTCTTGTACAACTGCTTTCAGTATCAGTCTTTTCGAATCTGGTAAGTGCTCAATGAGAGAAGTAAGTTTAGTATAATTATCGAAATTATGGTTGGAGTGTAACGCTGCATAATTAGCTATTCTAAGGAGCAGGGTTGATGACGAGTACATCTTACACCCGAAGATGTCCAGGTGTTTACTCTCCTTATCCGCTGAATTATTCTTATATTGCAGAAGCTTTGACCTCTGCTGAACTGCACCCACCACTAAAGAATTTGGTTGCGGGTGGGAGAAGAGAAATTCTGTGCCTTTGAGTGGTAAAAATACTTTTTATCCGCCCAATTGTTAGTTGGCATTATTGATGCCAGAGTCTGCCATATCTCATCAGCAGCCTCCATAATAGCCTCATCTACTGGGAGGGCTATTTTTGTGCACTGACAGGGCTGAAGATTTTTAAGATGACAATGGTGTTTCTCTAGGACCTCAGAGCCGTATTTCTTAGCTGGCAGCCACCCTCTTAAAAAGATCCTGAAGTTGTTTGAGGTCATCCAGTAGTGATTTGTCACCAGGGATAATTGCCTCATCCGGAGATGAGGAGGACTGATCTGTTGGCGAGACATCTGGCTGTTGTTCCTCCATCTCAGAAATCTGTCCCTCCCCGGGTTCAGAATACTGATGTACTGGTTGGGGTTTCGAAGAAGATGTTATAGGCTCTGGACCATGCGGTGCAGGAGAGGGTGGGTATCCTCGTGTGGGTGTTCCTGGCAGCAGGATGGATGGCACCCACTTCTAAGATGGTAATAGCGTGATGACCAATGAGAGATAACTGTAGCGGTGTGAATGGCTATAGTGTCGGTATTCTCATCTGTTGGGAGAGTGGTATCTTGGTGAACTGGCACTCAATCTGTGTACAAAACGGTAAGCATGAGGAGAAAGAGTTGGAGAGTGGAATGATCTAAAAGAACTCCTTGAGGATGGAGGAAGTGATAAGGTGGTGTATTTCTGGCATGGTTGATGCATACTCGGTGCCAGTGTTTGTAGAGTGTGGTGTGTAGAGCCGATGTCTGGACCGATTGGTCTGGTGCGGACTGGATTGTTATACCCAGTCCTAATGTTATTGATGAAAACAGTGCCACAGCTCAGGGTGCCAAGGTTGGCAGTGCCATGCATCTTGCCGGTGCCGTAGCTACCAGTGCTGCAGATGTTCTGTGCCGAATTTTCAGCTCTGAGGCCATTTTAAACCGCGGTTTCGCGGTGCCAGATGTTCCCGACTTCTCCCCAGTAATTATTCTACTTGTGGAGACTGGTGGTAGAGAACAGGCTGGTGAAGCTCTTTTATGAATGGGAGCAGCTATAGGAGGAGAAGCTCTCCGTTTCTCTGTCCTCGGTGAGTTTGAATCTGAGGGCTGGCAGGGCTTTATCAAATAAGAACATCCTGAGCCTGATTTTCTCTATCGTGCTGTGCTCTCGCTGTAAATTTTGCACAGTGTGTGCATTTTTGAGGCACGTGAGATTAACCCAGAGATTTAATACAGTCTGCATGGCTGTTGGAGACAGGCATGGGCTCTTGGCATGTGGCACTTTTTAAACCCAGGTGAACCCGCATGATTAAGGAGCCAGTCGCCACTGCCTTGATAGTGGATAATCAGACTGACTTTTGTGTTCTCTTTTGCCTTTTTCTTTTCTGTTGATTTATGTATTATTTTTTAAAAGAACAATTTACACGGAAAAACCTGGTTTTTGGGGGTTTTTTTAATATAACAAAGTAACAAAGTTTTTATATAACTAAGTAATTAGTTATATGATGACTAATAACGAAAAACTGACTGACCTATGTAAAGCAAAATTCCTTCTCTGACTAGAGTCGTTGAGGAGAGAGGTCTTGCTCCATCTGAAACCTGGGGTGGTGAAGCAGGATCTGGCAGGAGCCGGACACGCAAGAGATCAAAAGGCGCAAATGGTGTGAGGCGCATGCCATGCATGCACGGTCCAGCTGACCACTGCTCGTGAAAACTCCGATCTGCGGCACCAGGGATGATCTGACATAGGGTCCATAGGGACACTACCCAAAGAAGACAGCTAGGCTCCAAGCCCAGACTTAGAAAACTGCCATCAGTCAACAGCCCAGGATCTCATTATAACCATTTAGATTATCCATACAAGTGGGGCAGTGCTATTTAAATTTGTCCACGCCACTTGTAATGTTTTCCCTGGGTATCCTCATCTCTGAGACTATCATAGAAAAAAGTTCCTATAAAGATAGGTTAGGAGAGCTCAGTACTGAAAGCTGGTGGAAGAGTCACAGCTGAAAATGCTGGTGATATCACTTATAGATGAGCATGCAGAGACTAAGCAAGTTTTGGTATCAAGAGAAAATCAGCGTCCTTGATTAGCAGAAATTCTGATTCTTTGTCACAGATAAGTATTTCATATACTGAATAGAGAGTGTCAGAACCAACATGATGGTCTCTAAAAGTGGATGGTACAAAGGACTTATATTGCCCTGTTGACAAGGCCAACAGGGGTGGATGTTTTGATTTACATGGTATTAGAAGATTTCTTGAGGGATGTGTGTGTGCTAGTGGTGAAGTTGTTTCTGGAGGAACACTATTCCAGGCTCACTCAGAACAGTGAATGCTCACAGGACAGTCTAGGGTCTTCCCAGCCCTGGCAGTACTGAAGGAAACTAGCCTCTATGGGAACAGGCAGAGAGGTCCACGGTATCAGGCAGAGAGGTCCACGGTATCAGGCAGAGAGACTACTGACCTGGTGGGAGACCAAAATCTTTTAAGGAGCAAACCTCCTCTGGAGGTCTCTGGAGCCCTCCCTTTCTATGGGGTGTTGAGTCGAAGTCAAATGGGCACTAGATCTGCCCAGAGACAAAAGTACAAGGGGTTTTCCAAATATGGTTCAAAAGCAAGACAAAGAGCTTCATCTCCTAATTCTTTCTTGCTCTGAATCTAAGAGTTGAACAGAAGTTATATTCCACAGAAATTGTGAGACTCTCCTAGGCACCAAACACACTTGGAATGGCCATTGCTAACTGGGATGGCCTCCTAGCAAGTAAAGCAAAATTTGAAACCTAGTGAGATAGGTATACCCTCCCAAGGGAAGGAAAGCCTCCCCAGAGAGAAGAGGGGGAAAGAGGCACCCCTTTCACTAATAAATTCACTAAATTAGACTAAGAAAACAATTTTAATTGGATGAGGCACAGTGAAGAAGGACAAGCTAAGTGGCTCTCCTAGGCCAAGGAACTGAGGGCAGTTCACCTGTTCAGCCCTATATAGTCTCAGGGTGACGCATAAGAACATATAAGGATGTCTGCATGGGATGCACATACATCTGAACAGGAGCACCCAAAGGGACACTACTCAAAGAAAACCAGGGTCAGCCACCAAACTGTGAATTTAAAAATGGAAAATATGCAAATTCCTTATCTGGATCTAAGACATTTGCTCTTCATATACAACCCACCTTGTTCTCTACTTCCTCGGTAACCTGTTTGATTTTTTTCTTAATATCCTCTGTTAAAATGTTCAGCTGGTTTCGAATAAATTCCAACCTATCTTTCTGGTCTTCTCGCTTTTCCATGGAATTAACTCTAAAGTAGCAGAAAAAAAATCACCATCAGTAGTAGTTCTCCTAGAATACAAAGAAGTATAATAAATCCAGAATGAACAATTAATAAAAGAGGGTTTATTACTGTCAGAAGAATCCAGAAGTCATGTTAGGCCGACAAAGCTATCAACTGATATAAGCATTCTGACAAATAGGACAATGCAAGTAAGATTACAGCTATTTCTTTATGTAACTAATTAAAATTAGCTTTTGATACACAATTTCTGTTACCAAGAGCATGTTTGGAATTGGGGTACCAAATGTGGTATGAACAATTACTAAAGAAAAAGAAAGGAGGTAGGAAAGAAATCTTGATTGTGAAACTTGCTCCCTAAAGACTTGTCTCCACTAATTTGTAGAGATAATTCCTCTGACCAGACTGCCTATTACTGCTCACTAGCACCATTTGATTGCTGCTTAACAATTAAACTCTCTCATCTTGAAGACCATGAAAAATAAAAATACCAAAACCTCATCACACAATACTCTCTCAAGAAGTGATGGGGCCATAGCTCACATGAGGATGGTTTAAAGGCAGAAATTTCACAAGATGAACAGCCAGTGGCTATACTACATGCAGATTCAAATGATCCAGAGGGGCAGAGGATAGGTTTTGATGGACAGATTTAGAGAACAAAGCAACAGATTCAAGAGGACTTCAAGAATGGCATACTTAGAATTAAACTAAGAGCTAACAAAATGTAGCAGATTAGGGATATAAATACACAACTAACAGAAGCTGGTACATTTAGGAAGGGTATGAGATTTGGTAGGGGATTGTGTAGGCCACTGGAGGGTACATTATGGAGGACAACAGATAGAAAGGAAGTAAACTGAAGAGGTTAATAAATAACAGCATGCGAACCGAAGGTAAGAAAAGACCAGGCATCAAGGACAGTTAGAGATTGTTACTCAAAGTACAAAGAGTATTGAGACTTGTCACAAAGAAAAAAAAATCATTACAACTGCAAAAGTATTAAATAAACCAAGAGAAATGAAATTTACCTGGGCAAAGGTAACAGACCATGTTGCTCACATGAGCTCCACCCATATAAAGTGATATTTTAATTATATGCAAGCTGCCTGGTTGTCCTCACTTTCCTACACACTCTCCTGATCATTCACTCTTCCCTTTACAGTACATCGGGGGTCAACAATCTATGGCACGTGCGCCACTTACGGCACTAAAGCCGATTTTCAGCAGCACACAGGAGGGAGTACATCCCCATCCCTCCTCCCCTGCACAGCTGCTGGAGAGCACTCCCTCCTCCCTGCAGCAAGTTAGGCTGCAGTGAGAAGAGGCAGCGCTGGGGGGTGAGACTCCTCAGCAGTGCCTCATCCAGGACTGAGGCACCACTATTGTGGTCATGCGGTCTGGGGCTGGCACCCCAGAGGTGCTGCTGCCACAGCCGTGTGGTCTGGTGACAGCAGCAGCAGCATCGCCGGCTTCCAGGGCTAACCCCTGCACTATGTGGGTCACAGCAGTGGGGCCTCCAGGGCTGGCCCCAGGCCACAGTGGCAGCAGGGCCTCTAGGGCCAGGCCTGGACCACATGGACCCTGGCAGTGGGGCCTCCCTCCGGGGTGGGCAAGAGAGTGTGGTTGCAGCCATTGCTGCAAGGGGGCATGAAGCCAGATAAGGTCTCCCCCTCATGCCCAGACCCCCACAATCTCCTCCCTCCCTCCCCTGAAGACCCAGCAACCCTCCAATATCCTCCCTTATTCCTGCACCCTCTCTCTTGGCCAGACACCCCACCCTGCTCCTTCATCCACGTTGCTCCAGCACCCTCTCTCCTGGCCACAAACTGCACCCTCCCTTGCTCCTGCTCCCTCCACCTGGCCAGACACCCACAGCCTGCTTCTGCACTCTATGCCCCCCCCAGACCTTGCAACTTCTCCCCCTTCTGCACCCCACCTCCCTCCCAGATCCTGCACCCCATCCTATCCTATCTGCTGGCAGCCCTGTCTTGCACACTGTACCCCTCATTTTTGTGCCTACCCCATAGCCTAAGGCAGTCGATACAATCCACTAACTCCAGAACCCCAGAAAACTAAATCTGGTCTATGGGAAACCCTGAACCTCAGTCTCCCTGCTTCCCTTCCCCTAACTCCATGAGGCTGGGGCACCAGAGGAGTGAGGTGTCTCAGCTGGGGCAACATCAACGAACGCTGCGGGTTTTTGGAGGAGTTTTTTTGCTTCTGACTTGGGTGGGCCCCAACTGATTTTTCTGTGAGTCAGCAACCCCGACCCAAAAAAGGTTCCCTAACCCTGCCATAACTAAAGAAAACTTTAAAATATGTCCATCACAAAAGGTTTCACTTAGTTTATCAAATTTCATTTTAAATATGAGTTAAAATGTTTATTCTGTTTCTTAATTTAAATTAAACCGTTCTCCCTAGCTGCAGCTGGTTCACAAAATAAGGTCACCGTGCCCAGCCTGCCTTTGCCTCCCCTCACCCCTCTTTCCCAGGCACACAGATCTGTGAATAAGTTAAATCTCAGTCCGCCACTTCTGAAAGGCTGCCGACCTCTGCAGTACATTATACACAAGATGGGCCTCATATTACTTCTAAAATGGTGGTTACAACAAGAAAGACTTCTTACGGTTCTAAAATGGAGACTCAAAACAAGCCCATGGGATCAACTAGCTACCTTCAGAATCTGTTAATAAAGTGACAACATGAATGTGGTGATTCTTGGCCACACCCCAAAGCTCTGTTTTGTTTCTCCACACAGAAAGCAAATGAATGAGGAAATGGTGCGAGTGAGCAGTATTAAAACTGATCCACCTCTTGTCAATAGGGACAAGTGAACTTTAGAAGTCTGGATTAGTACAGGGAAATTAATGCAATTGAAATGATTCTCTCTATATATATAATCTGGATATATCAAAAACAAAAAAGACTCCTACCTTTTTTCTGCTGCTGCCACATTTATGGCGTCCATTATGTTTTTCACAGTATCTATTATCTGTTTAGCTCTGATAGTGTGCTGTTCAAACTTGGTTTTCACGGCTGACTGCGAGATACACTCCTGCGAGGGGCCCAAGCCACAACACATTACTGTAATTCCATACCAACACTTTCAGGAATTTCAATGTCAGAAAGCACTTGCTGCTATTATCAAACTTAAACCCAAAGGAAAATAAAGAAAAGAGCAAGTGTACAAAAATCAAAGAGACAGAACTGAAAATTCAAATGGCTCTATAGCAGCAAGACTGTATCTTCATATCTATCCACAGTAATGTGAATTGTTTTTGTAAATTAATAGCATAAAAGAAATACCATAAAAACAAAATCTGATGTACAACTATGAAGATGAATCTGTTATTTTCCTCAATGGTATAATCATGTCAAAAAATTTTCACACTATCTTTTAGCAGTTCTGAATGTTTAGCACTGATTTTTACAGCATTAAAGTTTGTAGTGGTTTTAATTGTCAGATTAACTTTTTTTTGAAAGTTTCAGGGTTTAACTGTTTTTACCCCAACAAGATTTTGCACAATTGCAAGCTTACATTGATAAGGGCATGCCTAACAGACAAATACACAATTTGGCCAAGCACGGGGGCATTCCAAAACAAGTAATAACTTGAAAATGCAACAGCTGGCAAGGGTTCTTTAAAATATTTTCCCATCCTGCAGAACAGTCATGTGTTAAATCTAATGGTACTGAAATGGTAGGCCAGAAAGGACCACTGTGGTTATGTAATTTAATCTCCTGCTCTACTCAGGACACTTAAGTTTCTGGTATTAAATTTCTGTCTGAACTTGTGTGAATTTTAGAAAAAAACTTGATCTTGATTTAAAAACTGGCAGTGATGGAGAATCCACCACAATCATGAGCAAGTGTCCCAATGGTTAACCACCCTCCATACTAAACAATTGTATCTTGATTTTCAGTTTGAATCCAATCTAGCTTCAACTTTCAGCCACTTCATATTATACTTCAATTTTTTGTTCTCTAAGTAGTTTCTTATAAACTGCAACAAGTCGCTCCATAGCAATCTCTGTGTTATACTACACAGATTAATAGACTGGAGGTCCTAACTAGAAGGCATGTTTTCCAGTCCTTAATCATTCTTGTATCTCTTATATGAACCCTCTCCAATTCAGCAACATTCTTGAATTGTCGACCCCAGAACTGGACACTGTATTCCAATGGTGGTCACTCTAGTGCCAAACACAGACTTAATGTCCCTGCTAAAGATGTTTAACTATTGACTATTTTACTAGTTGAGTAGCCTCGGTGTTTCAAAGGGGCAGCGCCACACAGCTGATCCCAGACACA